AAGAGATCCAGTACCTAGAGTGTTTGATTTGAGACTCACTAAGTCCGGCTGACGTGAATAACATAAAATAAACGCTCAAGCAGAATATAAATAACTGTTCGACTTCAAGATGTGGCTTGACCAGCGATTGTGTCACCACGTGATGTTAGTTGTAAAAATAATATGAATGTAAAAAAAAAAAAAAAAAAGAGAGCTTACAAGTGTTAACCAGACAGCGCGATATTACGAAGAATAAGACCACGTTTCAACCGCAAAATTATTCGATGGGACAGGATTGCGCGAAATAGTCACGCTTCGGCACTCCACGAACATTCCATTGAGTTTCGCATTGTGTGTATCTAAGTTATGATATTTTAGTATTTTATATGTGTTGTGATAAATGTGCTTATTTATCCAGAAAATATGTTCGATAAAATAAATATGAGATTGAAAAAAAAAATATTCGGCTCATGCATGCATCATTGGGTAAGTCTGTTAATCTATTTAGTAATGATTATGCAATGTACTAAACACTAAATTTTAGTTTAAGTAGTTACGCAAAATTAATTTGTATTTGATATTCTTAGTATCGTCACTTTTGGCGATCACGCCCATAACACCACAGCAAGAGACAATCTGATAAAAGGACAGCCATTGCCATTTAAAGGGGCGGACACGCCCACGTGACTGTTTACGTTCTATATCTGCAGCTGCGGTATTTCTTTCCTTTCGAATGTTTTCTTTATGATTGCTTCCTCACATTTTTTTATTTCCCTCCTCTTTGGAGAAGCAGGAAGATAACTACTCATCTTCATATCTTCGTTTCCGTTAGCTGTTTGTTTACCTCGTGTTAGAATTACGCATTATCATTTTCTTTCAATTTTGAAAGTTTGAATTGCCGTTTTCACAAAAACGGCAATTCAAACTGCTTTTTTAAAAGCAAAATGAATGCTGTTAATGCTAAAAGGGCATCTGGTCAAAGACCAAAAAGACGGAAGAGGCATCAGTATTATGGAAATCAACATACAAAGCGTGAGTGTGTTGACATAGACCTAAACATTTCTGCATCAGCAAGAAAGATCGGTAACGATTCATCTGCATCAGCTGAACTTGTGGATAACATGAATGATAATTTTGATGGTTATGCTATTACGATAAAAACTGTTATTTTCAGCATTAGAACAATGTTTATGTTGTTCGATATGCCATAATAAAATACATATAAATTCAGAAATAAATTATGGGCTGACGATAAAAATCAATGTTACATGCAGTTCTTGTGGAATAATTTCCTCTTTCAAAAACTCAAAGATGGTTGGAAAAAAAAACAGAATGCTTCTGACTTAAAAAGACGATTTATTCTGGCCATGAGGTGCATTGGCAAAGGACTAGCTGAGTGTAAAACATTTTGTGGACTTATGGACTTACCATCGCCTGTCGCAGAAAAATCTTATGACAAGATTGTAAGTCATATACATGCAGCTACATATACTGTTGCAGAAAAAAGTATGAAAAATGCAGCTGATGAAGAGGTCCTGTTGACTGGTTCCATGGATTTGACAGTTAGTGGGTGGCGATGGCACCTGGAAAACTAGGGGCCATTCGTCACGTTTCGGTGTGACGTCTATAATTGGAAGTGAGACAGGCAAAGTTATAGACAGATTTACTTCTAGTGCGCACTGTAAAGGTTGTAAAACTGCGAAAGATTCTCGTTCAACAGAAAACTATTTAGAATGGAAACGTCTTCACGCGAAAGTGTGTGCAAAAAAATCATTCGGGATCATCTGCCAAAATGGAAGTGAACGGGATGGTTGAAATGCTTTCTCAATCAGAAGAAAAATATGGTGTTCGTTATGTGAACTATATTGGTGATGGTGACTGTAAAACTTATTTAGCGCTTTCGAATAAGAATGTGTTGGTCATGTTCAAAAAAGAATGGGTACACGTTGAAGAAAATTAAAAAGTGAATTTCGTGGAAAAAAGCTAAGTGAATGAAAACCTCTTTGTGGTAAAGGCTTTGTCGTATTACCGATGTCTTGATCGACCAACTTACTACGTATTATGGTAATGCCATACAAAAACACTGTAACAACTATCGTGATATGCAGAAAGCAATATGGGCTATATGGTATCATAAACGCTCGAATGATAACGAAGCAATTCACGATTTTTGTCCAGATGGAGCAGATTCTTGGTGTCAATACAAAAAAGCTTTTTTTACTGGTGCACTGAAAAATTTTAAACATAAAAATCTGTACCTGTGGCTGTTATGGATGCCATAAAGCCTATTTTTAAAGATTTGTCTCACCCAGACTTGTTAAAAAGGTGTATTGGCGGGCGAACGCAAAATGCGAATGAATCGTTAAATTCATTGATTTGGACATTTTGCCCCCAAACAACAAATTCTGCAAAAAAACATTGCGGAAATTGCAGTAAATTTAGCTGTAGCAAGCTTCAATGATGGAAAATGAGCAATTTTATCTTTGATGATTGAATTACAATTGACATCTGGTGCTAAAAGCAAAACATTTGCTAAAATGGCAGATGAACTTCGCTTAAAATTTGCTAAGCAACGAGAGCTGATTAACAGTTTAGAGGCTCGTATAGCTAAGCGAAGGGAAAAAAGAAACAAGATGAAATGAATAAGCTAAAAGAAGGAGTTGTTTATGCACCTGGAGCATTTTGATTAATGTTACTAAAATATAAATAAGGAAAAATTAATATTAAAACTTTGAATTGAGTTTTCTCAAAATGTTAAATTTTAAGATTGCGCGCATAATTGCTTTCAAACTATAACTATGATAAATACATGAAAATTGAATCATATGTACATCTTATATTATCTACATTTAAAACCAAAAAATATCATATTTTGATAAAAACTTTTAAATTTTGATTAAAAAGTATCGAAATTTTTGATAATTTTTAATTTTTTAAATGTTTTACCATTTTATAAATTTAATAGTTTTTTTAGTATATTCTGATTTTAAATTAAAGTTAGATATATTCTAAAAGGATTTTGACCAAAAATGTTTTCTGCATACTTTTTTTAAATTTTATGATGCGCGCCCGTACTTATTGATTTTTATTTATCCGTTAATCATGAGTATTTTAAATCAACAATTTGAAAATTATTATTGAAGTGAAAGTTTTTATATTTGAACACAATGTTGAAAAAGGTGTGTGTTTCACATCTATAAGCAAAAAATAGAAATTATTATGATATTATTTGTGTATCAGAAGATAGCGTTTAGTCGTGTTTAACGTTATTTCGGTTAACGCAAAGGTACTGTGCCCCCTTAAATTATAATTGTAACCTTCTCATGACTTGGCATTTGGTTCAGACTAAAGAAAAACTAACTCGCTCTACGCTCTGGTAGGGTACGTAGAGTTTACGAAAACTTTTAGACTTATTAGAACCCTAAGCCATGTATCCAACGCGATCAGGTTACCCTAAATCATATATTCGCTCGCAATGCCTTTCTTCCTGAGATGGAATAATATATACTTACTTGCTGCGTTCCAGGTAGTTCTATGATGGATATTACTCAATATATTCTAGACTCCCAAGCCAGCTATTAGTACTACAGATGTAGAAGCTGCACTTTCAAACATGTGCGTAAGTAAAAAGTAACCTTAGTTTAATAGATAGATAAGCTTATTTAAATAGTAAAGTACAAAGTAACCTTAGTTTAATTGATAGCTAAGCTTATTTAAATCTGGCACACCATATATCATTTATTAGATACGGTAAATCATATTAGGGTTATTTGATCATGCTGCAATCATTCACCGATATCTGAACCCAGGTCAAAATAGCAGTAGCGTTATGTACTTTGATAGGTAGCAACAAGGAATTTAAAAAAAAAAAAAAAAAAAATGCGAATCCTTTATAAAGAAATTTTCAAAAACGCTTGATATGCTTGGGGGTAGGGAAAGCAGCTCTGCATAAATAAATAAGTTTAAATATAGGATTAATAGGGAATATGAAGTATGAATATATATATGTATACAGACAGATATAAATATACGTATGTTGCGTTCTACAGGTTCGTGGACTTGGAGTAATTGATGTTCGCCAGTAAGCCCTATTACATAGCACAGTTCCAAACAGGCATTTACAATCGTCGAAAAACTACCACAAACTCGCTGAAACAATCAGCAGCACAGGATATAACGTTGAAGACAGCTTCGCCCCAAAGAACTAAAGTACAGCTCTCAACTTAGTCGATCGCTCTCAAGCTAATCCCTGAACTCAAGATACGACATTCTCCCTGTATGAGCAGGGTATATATAGCTTTAACCTAACTCCGAGAATATTCCCGAGAAAACCGCTAAGAATGTTCTCTAGAATATTCTAGCTCGGTCTATGACATATCGCCAATTTTGTCACCAAATATCGCCAAATGGGCGATTTCACGCCAAATCTGGAAACCCTTCATCTTTGCTACTTTCTGGCAACTCCAAGCTCGCCCGCTTATCTCAACTATCTCAACGCGTATCCGCTGGGCATTTCGCAACAATAGACATAAATACATAAAGCTCTTAAAGTTATTTTTAGTCTGAAAATTTGCAGACCTATGTTTGTAAATTAATTGCTACAAATTCTTGCTCTTAAATGTAAATTATGTATGAATTAATATAGATATTAGGCATACATATTTTTTGTTTTAGTTATCTAAGACAAAATCCCATAAAATGTGATACTGCTGTTTACAGAGAACAAAGATTGAAATAGATTCACATATGATCGAAGTCCGAATAATTCTGAAATGTGACTTGACAAAATAAATATTTCAAATCTTAGCTTAGCTAATTTTTCGTGTCATTATTATTCAAATTTTATTTTGTCCAGGATTTTTCTTTTTGAAAATATATCCATTAAATCCGTTTCACATTCAGTGTTTAAAACTTATGAAAACATTTCTTCATGATCAAAGTACACAAACAATATTATTAAGTTTCACTTTGAAAGTTAAAAATTGTTCAATCATTCCAACTGGAAAAAAATGCCAACCTACTTCGAATAATAACACGGAAGGAGCGGGAAACTGGTGCCATTCCTTGGCCGGGGCTGACTTCACAAGTGTAGCTGCCATCGTCTATTCCTGGTTGCATTCCAGCAATGAGCAACGTTCCATTCGGAAACACTCTCTGTCTTTGATTGACGGGAAGAACTCTTTCATCTGGAAAATAGACAAAACGCCCCACTGCGTTAGAAGGGACTCTGAGATTACAAAAAAACAGAAATATTTCCCAGAAAAAAGAATAATCATACTTCATGTGATTCTGAAGCCTTTTTCTCCGTTAGATTCAACAATGCTTTCTTTTATATAATATAGAATAAATATAGCTTAAATGTATATTAAATGAAGATATTGACATTATTGCTAATAATTTTAGTTATCAATGAATAGAAGCTGGATAGATGTTTTCAAATATCTGTAAGCAGGTACGTTCTTTTGTTCTGCTCTTTCTGAAATAATTTCCCATCATTTAGTCGCCTTTCTAAATATTTTACATTAAAATTCCATTATCTTCTTGGCTCATTTGTGTGGAGTTAGTGAACTTGAAATAAACTTGTACGTTTATTATACAAAGAAAGAAACTGGCAAATATTTTGGAGTATGATAATTTAGGGATATATTGAATATATCAAATTAATTTTTTGACGTTAGAAATGACCTTAGCGGAGTCATTTCAGAATCTTTGAATCATTAACTTATGTTACATGAAGATCTAAAGATTGTGTAATTTTACGCCACATGACTATAATAACTAAATATTTTGAAAAATTGTTTCACTGCTCCAAACATACAAATGTTTCATTTATCTTCCATGCGCATAGTGGATATTCAATTTTCAGAGTGCTGCTATTTGGGAAAACTTAAGATTTTGCTTACTAACAGCACTTTTTTAATTTCAATATTAAAAATCTTTGGAATTTTATTAAATAACTTTATTTATTTAAAACTTGAGAAGTTTTAAATCTTTCAAATTTATTAATTAAATGCAATAAATGTATATATGTTGTTGTTGGAGTAATCTCGCTTATCTGGCATCAGCACAAGCCCACGAAATTCATTGCAGCAAGGAGTACAGGTTTACTCCTGTCCCCGGCAAGAACCTTGAACATCATATAGGTGACAGTAGTGTTTCGTCCAGTTCCACCCCAATTTTGAGGAGAAGTACAACAGCCGGTGGGTACGAGAGTCTCAAATTCCCCTTCCCCCTACTACCAATCCACAAGAGAGGATATTTGGCTCGCCGCATTTATATTGCTCTCATGCCGCAAAGCCAGTACACATTTACAAACATCCATCATCCATGCTTTCTCCAGGATTTGAACCCAGGTCTATTGGTAAGGTAGTCAGAGTGACTTATCACTGTCTCGTTTGGGTGGCATAAATGCATATATTGGACTCTTATTCCTTATTTCATTCTTAAATTTACGTAATATTAAGCTAAAGTACATTAAAAGGCAGTAATGTAATTCTTAAAATATGGTTTTATTAATTTTTAACAATATGTTTCAAACCTTTCGAATTGTCCATGATTCTTGAAATTGAAAAACGATAACGACTATGACATATGATTCAATACTTTAGAACATTTCAATTATTTTTTTTAATTAAAAACATTTTTCGGAAATAAGTGTGTGAATAAGTTTTTAACATAAATAAACAGATAAATCTTCCTGAAATGCATTAACATTTCGTCACAAAATTATACTCGTATTTCCTCTGAAAATCTGAAATTTTAAAAATTTGTTTATATTGATTCCCAGTATTTCGCTGGTATCTTTCCAATGAAAACAAATTTAATGCTGAATACTTTTTGGCTTACCATCCTGGAAAGTAAGATTAAAATAAGCAAATTATGTATAACTCATGTTTATTGCAAAACTCGGTCACGACTTGTCTTGGTTAAAAACAAGCATGAGTTTGTTAACAGTAAGACATACGATTACACATTTAGAAAATTTATTAACTGCGTACCTATCTTTAACAATACATGAAATGAATCCCGTTTTCCAGCAAGGAGGTGGAGCTATGATTCACTGAAATAACTCCATCATAAGGACAAAAATCCATACCATTATGGCAAAATACAATGCATGGAACTTGAATGCGAACACCAAAATGTAATATGCGTCTGTAACTAATTTAAAAGTTTTCCGTAGAAAAATAACATGTAATACAGCAGTGTTTGGCATCTTCATTGTTAGATTTTTATTCTGCTGTTTAGTGAAATATTGACTTGCTTTCAGTCACAGATATCCTTTAAGTGGCAATATCAAATTTCTTTTTATATTAAATTTGAAACTTCTGTTACATAGAGATAATATTCATAAAGCTTAGAATAAATTTTCAGAGTGTTCAGATATTTTAATAGACTTCGAAGTATTTTTCTTGAAAGAAAATATATTTTATTCAGACGAACATAAAAGCATTTACCTTTGTCAAATAATAGAAAAGCCGATGTTTCACAATGCAAATCAATCGTAGCCCTCAGGCTTTGAATTATAATGCACTTTGTTGGGAAAAAAGAGAGGATATGTAATAGTGTTTCAGGCTTTCCCCTTTTTAAAATTTTACTCCTTTTATTTTCAAACATTCTGAATTTATTTTCAGATAAAATATTCCGGTCTTATTCTTGTTTGATGAAAAGCTGGCTTATGTTTCGTCTGGGAATTGCCTCAATTTTATGACTGCTAATTTTGAAACTGCAGCAAAAAAAAAAAAAAAAAAAAAAAAAAAAAACGTAATAAATTTCAAAAAGAGAAATACTTCATTTCGAATACAAAACTAAAAATACAGCACAATTATCATAAGCACAATTTTTAATAATTATATCTAAATATCTGCTAATGCATTTAGAAAAACACAATGTGCATTTTGAAGTGCATAGCAATGTGTTTCTGCGACATTTCAGCTCAGAGTGTAGAGGATTAAAGATAATCTACCATCCATGTTTATAAATTTTTAAATATATTTTCATATAGTTCAAAGCCATGCATATAAAGCTATCATTTAACACTGTAATATATACCCCAAAAGAATCGCATTGAGGGCCAGCATAGGTTATTTATGTTTCAAGTTAATTCTATGTGTATTTTAATTTGGTCTAAATTTAAAACATACATAGAATGAATCAGAAAACGCTTTATTCGTAACGTAGTCAAAATATACCATATAGATTGAAAAAATAATAAAATAATTGACATGTTACCCATGAAAGAAAAAAATCAAGGAAAGCATCTTACAGATCAAATATTCTGTAAGTGAAAGGAAAACACAATGCGCCGCAATTTATTGGCTTTATACTGTTAATCACTGATGAAGTTGGGCTAAGATATCGCAAGAAAAAAATATTTTGAAATGAGCACCATAAGACTACCCTGATCAGATACCAAAATAAAACTGAATTGTTACATATCAGATCATATTTATATTAAAAATTCATACATATTATATGCATAATTTTCGTTCTTTATAAATCATGTTATATGCAATGTATTTAAATTTACTTCTTTTTCTTACATTTTTATGAATCCGTAATTTAATGTATTTAATGTAGTTGCTAAAAGTTGTGTAAGTATACAATGTGTTTGCACTTGGACTAACATGTTTAATAGCTAATACATACACGAATTAAAAAGCAAGGGATAAAAATATCAGTATTCTCAATTATATTCCTAAACAAAACCTCAGGTCGATATCAAAGTCTAGTAAATATTGTTAAATATATGTATTATGAGCATGAAAGAGAAATAAATTTTGGAGAGAGAAATCTGGTTAAGATTATCCACATTTAGATTAAATTACTTGATATAGTATAAAACGTTGATCTCAGAAACAACCGTAAAAGAAATTGTAGAAGTTATTTGGTTCTTAATGAAATGCATTCATTTTGTAAATACTTCAAAAATCTTTACAAAAAGTGCAAGGTCTCAAAGTGCACGTGAATTGAACGGATGATTTGAAATATATGGACGATCCAGAACACTTTTTTTTTTAACAAACTGAAAAATTTATTAACAAAATAAAAAAAAACATGTAATTGATATACTTGCAAATACGAATAAAAGTTAATAAAATCTCTATCTTTAAATCTTTGAGTAAGATTTATATCACACTGTAAATTAATCCATTCATGTTATTCATGTTAGCTTTTGATGGTAATGAAGCAATGGTAATGAATGATGGTAATTGATGGTAATAATGTAGCTTTTGACGGTAATGAAGCATGTTAGCTTTTGATGGTAAATAAATAATATTGAACTTCAAATAACTATGAACGCTTCGTAACACGGTATTTTTATAGCAAATACAATGAAGTTGAAACGTACTTGACAGGCCACATAAAATTGCTTCGGGTACCGCATGCGGCTCGCAGGCCACCAATTTGAAGATTAGCGTAATTAACTAGTTTGAAATAAACATAATTTTCCTGAAAATCCCAAAATAAGCAATACTTTAAAGAAGGCATCGTGAAAATGGAAATCTGTATAAAATATAAATTTACTCTTGCGTGATTTTGCTGCCCTTTACGTATGTATGTACGTGCGTATGTACAGGCGACACAAAAAAATTCCCTGTTGAATCTATGAATGCATTTTATAATCTGTTTTGAAAAAAGAAAGAAGTCCTTTATTTTGTGCTTACGTGCAGTTGTCACGGAAAAGAAATCTTCCAAAAGGAACGATCAAAATAGAAATATGATACCCGAAATACCAAATACCGTTGAAGAAAAAGAAATTTTTCGCAAATACAATTCTTCCTTTACTACTTACAAGGAAGTTAAAAAAAAGATTAAAGTATCTATTATTGGCCTCCTAGACTAAATTATTCGACAAAATAATTCACTCGTTTCTCAGACTTAAAGTATAGGATATCTTAAACACCAGCAATAAAATACGATTAAGTGCAGTTAAAATATACAGTTATACGTGTCGATTAAATGCAGGAAGGATGTAATTCTTTCTTGATTTCAGAGCGGTTACTGTCTTTCTGATGCATTTTTAACTGAGTTTTTCATGCCATATTATCATTGCACTATGCACCTATCTTATCAAATTTTCTGTATGCAAGAATTATTGTCGAACCTCGCATTAAGACCTGGTATATTTTATTTCCCCTTTGCTATAATAATTCTGTTTAATATAATTTTAAATAATTTCATTTTACCTATGCGAAATATTGATTTT